AGACCTCCGATTGACAGAAGGAAGAAAGGTACATTTTTTATTTATATATATATATATATATATTTTTTTGCTTAATTAATTAATTAATTAATTTATCATGAGAAGCTTATATAATATTGTTTTGGAAGTTTATAAGTACTTTTTCCAATAATTGAAAAAAATAAAAAAATAAAAAAATCCCACAAAAATTTTAGGAAGGGTACAACTATTGAAGGTGGACACATACGACAAGCTATAATGGGTTGTACGTTTAAAGCAATAAATACATCAAATGTACTTTTGCAAGAAAATTTTTGTTTTGTAGCCATAAAAAGTAGTTTGTCTGGATTGTAATTTGTGGAGTGTTGTTATTAACCAATGCAATGCAATGCAGGTGTTTGAAATACGCCCCACCATTAAGTGGGACAAAGGCAAGGCTCTTGAGTTTCTTTTGGAATCACTTGGTAAGTACTAAGTACAATGATTTTATTAAACTAATGTGCTCCCAAAAAAGTAATATTTAAGCTTTAATCTCACTCCATAGGCTATGCCAACTGCACCGATGTTTTTCCGGTCTACATCGGAGATGATCGAACGGACGAAGATGCATTCAAGGTATACAATTTTGCTAAGGAACCAGATGGTTTGTTTCTTTATGGAACCAACCATCTATGGGACAGCTCCACATGGGGCTGTCCCACAGGAAAGTTATGTGGAACAGCCCCATGTGGAGCTGCCCCATTGGTGGTTGGTTCCATAAGGAAACCAACCATCTGGTTTATATATATATATATATATATATTGAATTTGTATTATGTTTGGACACATAATTTTGATTTGTCTTAATTGTGTGATTAGGTGCTAAGAGAGAGAGGTCAAGGTATTGGAATTCTTGTTTCGAAGACTCCGAAAGACACGAAGGCGTCATATTCGTTGCAAGAACCGTCCGAGGTAGTTTTTTTTTTTCTTTTGAGTAGCGTATTGTGTATAAATTACGACTGATTGAATTTGTGTTTTCAGTGGTAATTGAAAATGCGGTTCACAACGTGTTGTAGGTGATGGAATTTTTGCGTCGTCTAGTCGATTGGAAAAATAAGTCGATAAGAAGGCAGTTCAGATTTGTAAGAAGGCAGTTCAGATTTGGAAGAAGACTCGAAGAGATCCAAAGTGTCTTTATCAAATTGATGAAGTAATATAATTATTCATATATTTATAGGATGAAGAAAACACACACATATATAACTATATTATTGTATGAGTGTGTTTTCATGTTTTTAGAAGCTATGATAGATGTTGTGGGTGGGAAATTAGGAAAGTTAACAGGGGTTAGATGGTAAAAAAAGAAAAGCTTTTTTTTTTTTCCTGTTTTCTTTCTAATTGGTAAGCAGCCCTTGTACATTATGTTATTTGTAAATTAAGTATGTCCGAGGGCTTATTTGTAATGCTGAACGGTATTTTCTAAGTGAGGAGAAGTATATCTACTATTCAACTTTCTCGTTATAAAAAAAGTGTCCCATTTTAAATTTAGGGAAATACTACGGTCCCGTTATAAAATTATCTTGTTGTGGTTTGTAATCGTTAGATCAGCATGTAACCGTAAAGAATAATTAATCTAACAATTACAAATTCAACGGAATGGTTCGTAACGGGCCGTAACATCTCCCTTCATTTTATTGTTAGAATTTGTGGCAAATATACAGTAAATTAATGAAGAGCTGATAGATGGGCCCCCACAAGATTTGGAAGAAGAATATTAATAACATTGTTGTTTAATGGGATTTAGGAATATGGACTAAAGTTTGACCGGATACAGAATTTTATTTGGTCTCGTTTGGGTTCTCCCACGTGCTCCCACCGTTTCCTTTTGTAATTAGGAAAAAATAATAAATATTAAACTCAAAATAATGTTCTCCAAATATCCCATTTTATATTTATTTTATTACAACTTTTCGATAGTATTTATATATTTTAATACTTTTACAAATCAAATCACGTTATTTTATTTTTTATTTTTTTTTGGTGTAAATTTGATTGGAAAATTATGCAATAAAATTAATTTATTCGTAGCAAGTAAAAGGCGGAAAGAAGAATTATTCGAACATGATAAATGTTAATTAGTGAAATTAACAGTTTACAATATACAAGCTGGAAAATTTAGTACATTAAGATGCACGTAAAATAATTATTTGTGCAAAAAAAATATATAATATGTTTTGTTGTACATTAAATTTTCAAAGTTGCCATTGTAAGGAAAAATTGGTTTTGTACCAACTTAATGACTCCACTTTTAGTTAGTGGAAGACTTAGAAAATTCTCAAAACCATTTTAAGGTAAATGAGAAATTAATTCTAAGTGTTATATATCGAACAATCGAATTTAAGTAAATCAAATGTTGTAAGGTTCACAAAACATTCAAGTTTGACTAATATTTGGACAAACTAAATGAGTCATAATCTTGCATTAAGTATGCTAGAATTGTGGAAGGGCTCGTTGGGGACAAGTAGGAAAAAACGGAACTAAATTCTGAGTCTGAACGAACGCGTACGAGCTTTCGGAGCGCAGTTGCGCGCCCGGCCCCGTCGCGGGGGCGACACTCTGCTTTGCTGGAGCCTCTGTCGAACGCGATAGGGCGTCGCGGGCGTGACGAGCTCGCGACGCTGAAGCACCTGTTCGTATCGAAAAGGTTTCTAACCGGTTTTAATCCACCGGGTACGTCCCAAAAGGTGTCTTTTGATGCCTTGAACCTCCTGGAGATGTGTTATAACATCTATAAATACCCATGAAGTGAAATGGTCATAAACATGAAATATTTTCATAACCTTTGCATCCTTTTACAAAGTTCATATTCATATTGTGTTCTTTGTTATTTCTTTCCTATCTTGAGAGTTCAAAACATAAGTATTGTTCGCCGAAGGTTTGTGTATTTGAGTTACTACTATACACAAATCGAAAGTCGTTGTATCTTGGAGGCGTTAGCCGTGAACCGTGAGTAATATACGAGGCTATTTCGTCTTAAGGAGAGCGTATCTTACGTGCCTCGACTTTGTTCGTTTAACCAATATTCCTTCTATTTTCTAAAGCCATTCTTGAAATTCACATACCAAAATATAAACTACAATCTTAAGAAGAAATATTGTGAGTTCATAAGATGGCAACCGAAGAAAACCAAACAAATGCTCAACCTACCGCTAGCTATGCGGATGGTAGCTGCTCCTGTCCAAGGCGAGAGACCGCCGAAGTTCAATGACTCTGATTTCAAGAAGTGGCAACAAAAGATGCTTTTCTACCTCACAACTCTATCCCTCTCTCGTTTTCTTTCGGAGGACCCTTTGATCGTCCCCGAAAGTGAGACCGACATGCAAAGGCGTACGGCCTCGGATGCTTGGCATCACAATGATTTCTTGCGTAGAAATTATATCCTTAACAGACTAGACGATTCTCTCTACAACGTCTATAGTCCGATTAAGACGGCAAAGGAGTTATGGAATTCCTTGGAGATGAAGTACAAGATGGAAGATGCCGGGATTAAGAAATTTCTCGTCGGCAAATTCCTAAAGTACTTAATGGTGGACACTAAGTCAGTGGTTAGCCAAGTTCAAGAGATTCAAATCATCTTTCACGATTTTTTGGCCGAAGGATTGATTGTGAATGAGGCCTTCCAAGTTGCGGCTATTGTTGAAAAGTTACCACCACTTTGGAAGGACTTCAAAAATTATCTCATGCATAAACGCAAAGAGATGACATTAGAGGACTTGATTGTTCGACTTCGAATTGAGGAAGATAATCGAAAATCTGAAGCAGGGGCCAACCAGAGCGACTTCGAGGCTAAGGCAAACTTGGTCGAGTCAAGCTCGAATAAGAAGCGCAAGAGAACTTCAAAGGGAAATCAACCTCAAACGAGCACCAAGAAGTTCAAAGGGAATTGCTACAATTGTGGTAAATCTGGGCATCTTGCAAAAGATTGTCGTCTCCCGAAGAAGGGTAAAGATAGCGCACATATAGCCGAGGATAAATCTGTTCCCATTGACTTATCTGAGCTCGACCTAACCGTCGTGGTCCAAGAAGTTAACTTGGTTAATAATCCACGAGAATGGTGGGTCGATACGGGAGCAACTCGGTATATTTGTGCGGATAGAGATATGTTCTCGTCTTATACCCCTACCGACGGAAGGAAGCTGTTCATGGGTAACTCTTCGACATCAAACGTCGTGGGAACAGGAAAGGTGGTGCTAAAAATGACTTCGGGCAAAGACTTGATGCTAACGGAAGTGTTGCATGTCCCGGACATCCGTAAGAACCTTGTATCCGGTGCTCTTTTGAGCAAAGCCGGTTTTAGATTAGTCTTTGAGGCCGATAAATTTGTAATGACTAAGAATGGTGTCTTCTTAGCGAAAGGGTACCTAGATGAAGGTCTTTTTAAGATGAATGTAATGAATGTTATCCGCCAAGAGGCGAAGAATAAAGAAAGTATTTCATATTTGTTGGAGTGTTCTAATTTATGGCATGATA